AAATCTCTGTTCACACGTGCGGTGAAAAGACAGTGCAGATGAATAAACTTTGCAAATCCTGCAAAATCCTTCCTAAAACGACTTCTTTGTAATAATATTAGAAACGAGCCAGTGAAGCTGTACATGGCCCTCTTCTGGTGGAAGTGTGTGCGTAAAGTTGTGTGTGAAAGAAAGCCCCTTATTTAAACAAGCATGCAGGAATTTGGTGTCAGACAATAGAAACCCTCAGCCAAAAATGACAGTCTCACCTTGTCTCTTGTGTAAGTGTGTGGAGCCTGTCCTTATTGCTCAGTGTGCTCATTACAAAGCAGTTGCTCATGTCAAAACCACGAAAGTAATGGTGTGATATTTAATAGTGATAAAAACACGTGAGGGCATGCTAAAATGAATACTGTGTACTAATTTTCAATCCTGTCAATCCCAATGCAAAATGCTTAAGCAATGGTTTTGTTATTTTGTTTTGCATAAAATTGGCTTGAAGTTTCTACAGAGGCATACAATAAGAACAGAAAGCAGAGTCAGGACTTTTCACTTAATTAAACAGAGAGTAGGAGGATCATACTACCAGTGAGGTCATCACGTAACAACGACAGTGCGTCAAGCATGCTCTCACTCTATCATTATACACCATACAGTTGTTCCAATAGTTATCATAAGCTTAGCCGAATAAAAATCTATTCAGTTGGATGTAGTAGAATAGCCAGAAACATGTGAATTATTGAATGACCAGAACCAGAAGTATCCATATATGCGTTCAATCGGGTATGGACATCAAAACAAAACCCCTATGCTTAGTTTATACTTGGAAAGCTGTATCAGATTCAGATACATAAAATACAGCCACAGACAACTTTTTACATTTGTTCGTTAAAACGTTTTACTATCTTGCCATATAAACCAGGCCCTTGTCCACATGCATAGAGGGAACACAATGTGCCATATGATACCCCATAGCGCAGACAAACTCGTATGAACATATGAATATGTCATATTACCGCCGTGCGTAAAAGTGGTCAAGACGGTCGTACAGGCTTTGTGGTGAGAAAAGCCCCACACCAGCCGGCAATGACTGACACAACTAAACTACCGGCTTGAGCAGCAATACATAGTCTTACTACGAGGAATAAGAAAAAACGTACCGGTTTGGTGATTAAAACGAGTTGAAATCAGTGTTTGGAGACGGGCATTATCAGATGTCGTAGAGTTGGCAGGTGTGATTAAAGAAAGACTGGATGAAACCACAAAGCCGGTAAGCGAGGTTCCCCCTTCTCTCTGGTCCTCTCTTTCTCTCTGTACAAAAAGAAGACATAAACACTGAGCGGGCTGGGTGAGCTCACAGTGCGTCACCGCTGCAAGCTGAAACTCCCGTGTGTGCGTGTGCGTGTGCGTGCGTGTTTGTAAAACCCCCTCTTTTGGTCATTCCCAGCAGAGATTGCAGCGCACAACCTGAAGGGTGTCCTTATGTGGAGCCCCAATGTGTTCACAATTGAAACAAATAAATAAAATAGATAGATTTACAAATGATAAATACTAAAAAATGAAATAATAATACGAAAGAAAATATATGCAAAACATAGTTAGGCCTAATAGGAATACATACAGTAAACACATTAACAGTTTTATTCACTAAAACCTTTCAACTCAAAGTAACATCCTGCTAATTTGATTGTTTGTCCGTTTTAAAGTAGGCTACTTCTAAATGTCTCTTTTCCAAACACATATCCGTCTGAAAAATACACTTACCTACATTTTGAAGGAATTCCCAAAACCTCGAAAGAGTCTTCCAATTAACTGGATGATAATATTCCCTCCTCTGCAAAACACATGTTTTAACTGTTATACTGTACATGTTTTTAGTTTATTAGATGTTTGCAAATGTCAGTATCAATGTGAAGTTCTACAACACTTGTGATTTGATTGCACAAGTAACTTTACAGTGTACCTTGTCATTTAGTAAAGCACAGGGGTTAATACTTACATTAAAGATGGCTCTGTTCTATTTACGTTCAGCCTGAATAGTGGTTTTATTTACACCTTTGCTCTTTCTACAGTGACATGCCGAAAGGTCTTCTGTGAACAATTTTTATACATTTCAATACACTGAAAGTATTCACTCCCTTATTATACAGCATTAATGGAGAAGCCAATTTTACTCCTGAGGAAAAAGTTATTTTTGGCTGTTAACTTGTACAGTACGGTATATAATAATAATAACAATAAATTATATTTATATAGCGCTTTTCTCAAACTCAAAGGCGCTTTACAGTCGGGGGGAGGGTAGACAAACAAGGACAGGCAAAAACAAACAAAAACAACAACAACATAATGTCCCCTATAATATGCATTATTAGTCATACTTTAGTTGTACGTCCTAATGCTTTCATAGCAAGTTTTAGGATAAAAAGGATACATTTTAAAAGGTAAAAGCTAAGATAGTTGCTATGAATGCTGAATGTGGACAAAGACTCTGTAACATAATATTACATTTGTTTATAATGGTTAGGTTTGAAATGGTGTCTTTGGGATGCTCTCTAAATGAATGTAGTTCAATTCAAGTTGTAATAAAGACATGTAATTGACTGAGTGTCAGTCACAATACTGCAGGTGTTGCTCGTAAAAACAGACAAAATGTGTCAACCTTCCCTGAGTAAAAACAAAAGTTGGATTCTTATTTTTAGCAAGCAGCCTGAGGACAAAAATAGCATTGTGTAAGATTAAATCAAAATGGCTTTTCTCATTACACAAACAATTCAATACAATCTGATCGCAGCAAATTAAGGAGATTTCCACTGTCCCACATTCTTCCGCCGGGCTGAATCAGTGCGACTCAATGACTCACATATCAGTCGGTCATTCTGGTCAGACAGATGAATCTCTGTGCTGCTGTCTTTACTGCCTCTTTCATTCATCACACAGATCTTCACTGTGTAATGCATCATTTGAATACTGTGTGTGGATGCAACTTTGTGTGTGTCCATGAGGGGGGGAGCAACATTGGTACTTGTGTGTGTCCTAAATGGGCTGCATTCATTCAGCTTTCCTCTATATACTACAGGGCTATCATATCACAATACACTTCATTGTGGGTCAGTGGGTTAAAGTAAGATGAATAGTTGAGTGACACTGAAGAAGGCGAGTAAAAAAAAAAAAACAGTGGCAACTTACTGTTCAGGTCAGGGCTAAGAGGAGGGCATCATGAGATTTGAGTCAGTTTTATTTCTCTTTATTTACTATTTATTTGTATTACTGAGATGTATGTCTTGTATTATCTATTAGTTAGCAAATGACTACTTTTCTATTAGTTATTTCTCAGACTCAACGGTGACATCCTCAAATAGCTTGTTTTGTTTGACCATATCCCAAAGGTTTCTTATCAGTTTCAGATACCAACAATTACACAATGAAAAAGGTACCTTCCCTATAGAGCCTTTGTTCTTCTTCCGAGTGACGCTAATCCTAGATCGATGTAGGTAGTCTGGTAACGCCTTTTATTTTGCAAGAAGTAGCGAAGCCCGAAAGAATCAACTATCGACTCTGTCTGCAGTTCATGTTTTGTCAGACGTCACATCCAACCACATTTTATTTTGTTATTCTTTAAATTATTACAACTATGATAACTCAAATAAAAATAAACTGTCTATAATAAAATGAAATAGATTTGCATTTTAAATTAAGAGATTCATACATTTTAAGAGACTTAAACCTCATATTGCTGAAGACCACCAACCTAATTGAATTTCTAAAATATTTAGATGATCAACAACTATGTTTCCACCCTTCTAAAGTGTTGTGTAGGTAATAATTCATCGTATTATAATCAATAACATTTTGGTTTTAATTAAAAATAAATAAATAAGGAGACCCACCGCTCATTAGGAATAAGAAAGAACAGGCACAAACCGGCACGAGTGAACTGATTTAATTACAAAGAGGAACCCAGAGTGACAGAACGATAACAGCTACATACAGTAAGTAACTCTGATACACTGTAACCATGACAAATGCATCCCAGCCAGAGATAAACAGAGTTTAGACCAGGTAGATTTCCTTCCTGTAGATATTCGTAACAAGGCAGACATACTGTATGTTTCGGTGATAACATGACTACCAGTGAAAACATCAATGCCAATTCTTTTCAGATGCTATCTTGTCTTCTCTTGGAAAGATCTGACAGTTATAATTTAAACATCACTGACAACGCAAGCCAGAGAGGAGGGGGAAAAAATACAAACAAACCTTACACAAATATATAAAAATATGCCATTAGATTCATATCAACAATTGAGGACCGTGGGTGCAATATTTACAGAAAGAAAGGCAATATACCGATATTTACAACAATAAAGACTTCTTTAACATGTGGGCAATAGAGGTTACTTAGCTGAGAGTTACAGTGATGATAGGATGAGTTTGATGTGAATGTGAATTAAGTGTGAATCCTCTGTTTCTTACACAATACGCTTCATTCGACTAATCCTTTTCAAATTAGACCAGGATGCATGCTTCTCTAAAATTAAGAGTCAATACAATGGGCTGCAACTAGTGAAAATAAGAATATTAGTTCTTCTTTCTGAATCAGGTGAATCAAAAGTAATGGACTTCAACCATGGTAGGTTTCCACCAAGAACATTAAGCAATTACTTATTAGGTAGGCTCACAGTTAAAAAAAACATGCTGCTCCAAAAGCGCTGGTATCCAGCAGGGAAAGCATATCAATGTTTCTTCACAGAAAATAAAGTACTAACTCCATTTCTCAGGGAGGTCTCCATTTCCCTACAGCCAGTACAGATAAACAGCATTGTAATGGGTCACTTTGCAGCTCTTGGCTCTGGAAACTCAAAAATAGATGTTGTCAATTAGAAAGAACTCACAAAAACAACATAGGCCTACATCTTGCTACGTTAGAGGATATTAGAGGAATACTTTTTTTAAGGTAGGGAATTATCTTATTCACTTTTCGCTTAGAGTTAGATGAGAAGATAAATACCACTCTCAAGTTGGCTTCATTAATGTGCAACTACAGCCAGCTATGGGCTAGCTTAGCACAGATGGAAACAGCTAGCAAGCTAGCATAAAAGATTCACCCACCTGAACCTCTAACCTGAACCTTTATGAAATAGGTAAAGAAGATATTATGTGATCTGTGAGCATTTAGGCATATTCCTTTTTTGTTTAAACTCTCCATAATAACGAAGCTAGCCGATTCACATTCCATTTTGATTGTGAGTTTTTATGCTAAACTAAGCTAACTCCTGGCTGTAGAGGCAAATACAGCCAATAACAAACCAACCCTCGTCACTGTTAGCTGCTCTCACAGTAGGATAGTTAACCCAATTTGAATGCATTTGGGATGGCTAAGGAGAAATGCCCAGATGGCTGGCAAAGTGTAATGAGGTGTTTTAGGATACCACTTAAGACTCAAAGCCTGAGATTAACTCAGTGTGTGTTGTGTAGAAGGACAAGTCACCCTTCACTCAAAGCCTGAGATTAACTCAGTGTGTGTTGTGTAGAAGGACAAGTCACCCTTCACTTCCCCAAGCATCTGCTGTAAGTAGTGTGAGGGAAAGCTGACTTTTCACTGTGTGTGTGTGTGTGTTTGTTTATTGGATTCACTTTTAGCCTTCTGAAGGCACTTGTAGGTGGCTCAGCCTTTGTCCTTCTGACCTACTCTGTATCGTTGGTACTCTATTGTCCCAAAAAACAAACCACACGCATGTTGTTCTCAATGTTTCTGCATTAGGAGTATAACAAATACATCTTATAGTTATATTACCTGTGACTAAAATGTCACAATGGATCTTAAAAAGGTTGAATATTAAGCAAATAATTGTAATGGCTTCCAAACCGGCATGAGGGGGACTTTGTTCTCTTTTTCTTCAAGATAAGTATTGAGCTGTGTTCAAAGACAATGCTTTGCAATGACACTACAATACTCTTTCCTTTTTAGATTTGTTTCTTTACATTTCTGTTTTCTTCGGAGTCATACAACTCCTAAAAAACAACCCTGTATTGCGTATCGTACCGGACAATGAGTGGACTGTCACACCCTTGCTGTGTATGTCTGTCTGCCCAAACCAACTATTCCCATCTGTCTAGTCTGCTCATCAAACCAAGGCTTTTTTGTTCTTTAACTCAAACACAAAAGGTGAAAGCTACATCTTCTATAAATTAAGTGCTGTAAAAGAATGCGCTAAAATCAAAACCATAAATACTGTACATTACTATCGTTATCTGCTACCACAGCCCAGTGTCATAGAAGTCAGTAACATCAGCTCCTGATTTCTGCTCAACAAACTTAAATTTCACTGCAAAATAAATCTCTTAAGATCCCTTAATGTCAAAACTGTAACACATACAAGGCTTTGGCATAGTCATGTTAAGGAGGAAAGTCTCCTATGCACCTTTCCTACTCAACTCCAGTAGCAGGCATCATCTATGTTTAAGTTTCTTTAAACTGACAACAAAAATGAAATATGAAAATCTGATACCACTGATTATCTGTGGAAAACACACATTTGTTTTTTCACAAATGTCTTCCAATTCAGTGAGTGAAGGCTGTGCATTAATGTGCGTGTGTATAAGTATTGCTAAACACTCTTTCCACATATTGCACTTTTTAGTCAATCTTTCTCTGCAGGAGAAAAGAGGTTTTTAGCAGTCTTATATCTTAAAGCAATGATCGTGACATAGATAGTATTACAACCCTTCTATGACCAGAAATCTTTATCTCCATTCTACTACCTGAACTTCATTCCTTTAAAGCTCACAGACTGAAACAGAACCTCTCTTGCAAGCATGAGCTTTAGCTGCAGGAAAAAAACACAATTCAGAGTATCCATGAAACTACAGTCTGTGATGTTATGTTTTACTAAGTTTCCATTCATATATTTGTACATGACATTAACCTCCGTTCCTCAGGAAACATTTTGTCTGAAGTTCAGGCAAGGGTCAAGTGATGATGGAGTAAAGGGTTGACGTCAGAGTCCAAAAACAAACAGAGAAGTGATGTATAAGGACAAGTACACACTTCACTTGTATGTCCTCTTATAACTTCCTGTGCAGTGACATTGTACACAGTCCAAATCCTCTTCTGTCAAGTTTCATTTTCGGCTTCTCTGTCTTCTTCTGACTCCTTCACTAAAATAATTGTTTTTTTAATACAATTTTCAAGACAATATTCACAGAAAGAAATCAACACACGCACAGACACCACTCAGTGAGGAATAACGCACACCATCAGAAACATTACCACAGTCTTCTTGAAGTGATCATATTCATTGGTAAGTCCAGGAGAAAGGTGACAGCCATATTGTGCACATAGAGACTGGAGGACTGAGCAGAAGACCAAAACAACAACACCAAAAAGTGAGGGTCCCGGTGGGGAAAAGGACAGGAGCGTGTGCTATAGTTCTCAGATTGAGCGAGTTTGGGGCGGGTTGTTCAAACCGGGGTTTATTGTCTCAGACCTTCCAAAGTAAAAGATGGTTGGTACTGTCATCCCGTCCAACTGTTTCACTGCTATTCGTCAGTCTGAAGTCCTCATAGCCGTCACCGCCAGAAATTACTAGATGGTTTATTTTTGTAGGGATGTGGGCTGACGCTCGACGACGTGAAGAGTCACGCCTTTGGAGGTTTCCATCAACTGTGCTGCTGCTCTGGGATTGGTTGCCTAACAAACAGAGAGTAGGGATTAAAGGTAAAGGGAAGGCACAAGTGAGGATAACACTTGTTCAATTTCCTACTGTGGACAATAGACAAAAGTGCACATTAAAAATGAAAAACAACAACTACCTGTGGATTCAGGAAGTGGGAAGTTCATGTCAAACCCTTCTGGTAGTTCGATTGATGTCAAGAACCGAACGTGGCCAGTGTGTCCTTGAGCCGAGCCCATCGGCACCTGGGGGGATTTCAGTGTCCCAGCCCCCGTTCCTGAGCTCACGACTGGGATCCCCAGCGTAAGGACGACCCCTGAAGAAGAAAACCACCTTAAAAATATTTCATTTTTAATCCAATAAATCTATTAATATAAAACACAAAAATTCTACCATTAAAGAAAACACTTTTATACTTTGCAGGTGAACGCACATTTAGCTTGTTTCCAGACCTTTTTTATTTCAACCTAAATCTGATTTGATTTTATCATGAAGACAAAATGATCATACATTTTGATTATCAGGTTAATTGTGTTTTGATTTCTTACTCTAAAAATGTTTTTACCTGCACTGGTGCCAATCCACAGCAGATCTTTACATGCCAGCAATGCTGTGATTCTCAGACAGGCAGCTTTGTGCTGTCTTATGATTGCATCGGCACCTGAATGGAAAGAAAGAAAATAGATAATGGGTTAGAAGTCAGGGGAGAAACAGTGGTGAGGATGAAGGGAGTTATTCCCTATGTGTCTCTTACCTGCAAGCATCTTATGCACAGCAGGCGCCACATCCACCTCTGTCAGGCTCTCCAGCGTCTGAGCGTGGTACAGTTTGACCAGGGCACTGCCCTGCAACGCCAACCAAACACCCTGACCGTACGCCACCATGCAGGTCACACACCGACTGCTGTCTGTGCCCACCTGGAACCAGTGCTGAGAACGAGAGAAGAAATGTCACACACACTGTTGACTGACTGCCGACATTTACTCAGTTGTACACAAATCCTTATATTCTTCCACTTACCTCTTGTACCAGTGTAGTTGTGTTTAAAATAAGGATTCTGTTCTGTGAGCCACACCAAAGCTTTCCTCCCACAGGAACCATTTTGGTGACGGGGCTTGTGGGCGTGCCCAGAACTAACGTCTGAGAAGACTGAGGGTCCCAGAAACTACCTGCAGATTTCAAATGAAGGGGGTGTTATTCAGAAAGACTACCAAGGGAACAGAAAACATACAAATGTCATTATTTTAGTGGATTTCAAGTACAAAATATCTCCTTAACTTCCTCAACCAGGTGGGACATTTTTTAACCGGTAACAGACAGGGTGCAGACTAGCATGGTAGCATAGTATAACAGTTATTTGAGCAACATGTTGCAGAGAATAAAAGCTTCAGCAAACACACAAACTAAATAGAACGGAGCTCAAAATAATCAAACTTGATCACTTTCCAAGCTTACCGGCTTCTCTCTGATAGACTATCACCTCTCCATTGGCCAAGGACACAAACACTTTGTTGTCAAAATACCTAAAGGAAGAAAAAAAAAGGATGCTTTCAAAATGACAAGAAAATAATCATTATTTAGGTTAGGCACACAAAAAAAGAAAACATTTCGAACAATACAAAGAGTTATAACTGTGAAACATGTTCGTGGACACTTATATAGCAGGAACAAGAAAGTTGAGACAATAAGAGACAAAACTGACTAAGAAATGTCAACCCACTACTGCTCCATCTTTTTAATTTGTCTAATGAAGCATGAATTCTGCTATTTAGTTTTGAAAAGTAAGGTTATAGGTGACTCACAGTATACAGAGGATGGAGGCTGAGTGTTGCATCTTCATGCTGTTCTTACGGTTACGGATGTTGTCTGAGGACTGGTACACATGGATGCTGACGGGAAACAGAAGCGTTATAGGAGTTTAGGTGATGAATCAGTACAACAATATGCAAGGAATACATTTTTATGTAAAAAAAAAAGAACATCATTTGTGAGTAGGGTTGGAAGTTATGTCCATGTGGGAATGAGCTGCTGGCCCATACAAGTCATTAAAGTCTTATAACTTCACTTTATCATTCATTATTGAGTTTTAATTTAGACTGAAAGTTATGTCTATGGATGTGTGTGTCTGTGTCGCATACCATCCGTCCTCTGTGCCCAGCCACACTGAGCTCTGGTAGGCCTCCGGGTCGATGCTGAGCAGGTCCTCCAGGCTCGCCCTGGTGAACGAGCCCCGGGAGGAGCGGCGCATGGCCCGGCCGTCCATCGGGCTCTCTGTGTGGCCGCGGCCTCCGGCGCCATCACCCAACATCCCCGGGGCGCCAAAGGAGCTCGCCACAGGGAACTCCTGCTCCTCTTCACTGCTGGTGGTCTCTGTAGCCATGTCTTTGGAGCCTGGGCCCTCATCATCTTACGGGAGGACATTTGAAAATATAAGCCTATGGAGTGTATGCGGTAAGTGTGTGATACTGAAGTGTGTTCTTTACTTACTGCCATAGCTGGAGGAAATGGTGGAGTGACTGGCCTGACTCTTAAGAGTGGAGGAAGGGCTGGGTGAATCCTCATCATCAGTGTCATCACTGTCAAAAGGAACAAGCTCAGCTCCGGGACCTGGAAACAATCAGTTATACAAGTCAATATTACTCTTAGAGGATAACATTAGGGCAAAATAGGATTATACCATAACAGTTCACACCCCAGTTTGTTTTAAAGTATTGTTTTACATAAGCTTTGGTAATTTATTTGATATGTATTGTATCATATCGTGTTGTGTGGTTATGTGCTTTAGTAACTGTTAAAGCATTGTCTTGGTAATGCTAGGACACTATTTGTAAAAGCCTGCCCAGGGATAGCTGATACAAAATAGCACATTTGCGGATTCTGGCATATTTTCATTGAGCTGGAAACTGAAATGTTAATTATTATGCAATGATTCTGTTGAATAAACAAAAATGAATAGTAATAGTTGCTGCTTGTCATGTTGTTAAACCTTTATGGACCGACCTGTGGGTTGCTCCGTCAGCTCCACAGATGAATGAGCGATGGAGATATGGAGCTGTTGCTGGGGGTGACCAGGGGCTCCGGGGGCCAGGGTGGGCTCTGATCCACGCTCCCTACAAGATGAGTCATTGGTCAATGGTGTAGAATAGAGATTAAGTCAGAAAGAGAGTCAATGAACCACTCAGGTGCAGGAACTTAGATGGGTTTTTGTTGCAAGAGTGTTTAATGTCTAAGTGTGTACTGACCTTCCCTTGAGTCCTGGTACAGCAGCGATACATATGATCCTCGCTGAGCAGACAGCAATACAGGCCTCCACTGTGGGCTCATCTTTGATGTTCAACAGACACACCTGAACGGAGAAAACATAATCAATTAGAGAGCGGCAACCTCTACCTATCTTGCAATCTTCATAAAAGGGACAAATATTTGTGTATCTTTCCCGTAGTTTAGATCTGCTTCAAATTATTATACGTTCTTCCTCTGCCCATGCTACACACTTCTGCCCGATTTCATTGGGCAAGTCGTTTTTCCATAAGCCTACTGATTAACTAATCAAAACGAAAGTATAACATCCTTTGTGAAGGTAATAAAGATATCCTCTGTAAGTATCAATACTTGTTGTCCCCTAAGGGGATTTTTGGTTTCATTATAGCCACATTTAAGTGTTTTTCCTCACCTGTCCCACGTATCCATCACTGTTGCACACCCACACTTCGCAGCCACTGTCAGGACAGCTGTGGCTGGGAGAGGCACATGAGAACTGGAGACAAACAACAATACATGAGTGGATATAACTTTGGAACATCTGTAGAGAGCTTGTCTACAGGTATGAACTGCATGAAATAAATTGTCTGACATAAATCTTCTCCATATACACAGCAGATAATCCGTGTTGTTCTCACCTGCATCCCACTTCGTGTCTTCATAATAGGAATGGCCTTCAGAAACTCTGGGTTCCACTGGTCCTTATTCATTGCTAAATGGATGACAGAATAACACATAGAGCAATTCAATAAGGTCTGGGCCTAGTAAATCCTAGTCAGACTCATTATAGATTAACATCATAATTATATTATTTTCAGGAAGTCTGAGGAAGATTGAGAAAACTAATTTAAGGTGCTTATGCAGCTGGGCACAGATGAGGAATTATTTCTCTCTTTTCTTTTACTTTAACTAACAAGCTACAGTGCAGTTAATAATGTTTTATCTTTTTTTACTAACCTAGCTTCTTCTTGGCGTCTTCGAAGGCCTGTTCAAAGTGGGACCGAGTGTCAGGTGAGGTGAACTCGAACACGAAGGTGCTCTCAGCGGAGGCCGTGGTGAACTCCAGCTTTGTGGGCAGGAAGGTCATGCTGAAGGCCAGAGACTGCTTCTCTGACAGCTCCCTGTGCACCGAGCCCATCAGGTCCTTTATCACATCGTCCAGGGACTGACAAGAGCAAGAAACAAGAAGAAAAATAAATATTAGATACATCCCTGGTGACCATCACCATTGGCTGTCACTACAACTTAGAACATGAGACAATAAGAAATGACAAAGGCCATAATACCTAAAGTAATTGTGTGTGTTGGTGCACAGTACCTGGTGTGGGAAGCCGAGGGTCTCAGAGAGTTTGCTGATCTGACCCAGAGTGCTGACGTCCTCGTCTAGTCGACTAATCATCTTCTGGATACTCTCCTTGTTTGTTGCCTGAGTCGAGCCTGATGAGTTCAATTAAAAGTGTTAAAGAACAGCATTACAAACAAGTTTAAACATCTAAAGTAAAAAAAAGGAATATCTCATTTTAATACTGATGAATCTGTAAACTGAGACTTCATTTTTGTGTATTCTTTTTTTGTTATAAACAAGAAACAGTGTTATTATAATTTAAAGTGGACCTATCATGCTATATTTGAATAATATATTGTAGGGCCATACCTATATAAAACATGTCTGTGAAGTTTTTTTTTCAAAATACCAAACAGATCATGCATTTTAGCCATGCCTCATTTCGCTCTATTTGCTCTTTTCCAGCCCTGTTTTTGCAAGGGCTGATTCTGTGAGAAGTCTTCTTCCTTGCTTTTGTGGCCGACTACAGCGCCACTTACAGGCCTGGCATATGTACTACAGCGTCTCCAGCGCTTTCGAGCGACAATGGCCGTGGCCGTGGCCCAACCCCCCATTCCCCTGATAGGTGGAGAGTTGCCCATATAGGCAGAGCACCCCGTTTCTGACGTCAGAACAATTTCAAATCTGTATCAGCTCCGTTGCAGCCCCGTTTTTAGAGATTTGGGTATGGAGGAAAAGAGAGAGGGTTGTGTTTTCTGACACTTGGTGAGTTCCCTGACACACCGGGGACACATATTCATGTATAAAAGACGTACAAAAGTGCATTTTGCATGATAGGTCCCCTTTAAACGCAGTCATGAGACCTATTCAACTTGGAAACAAAATAATAAAATAAAATAAAAGCATTGCAGTTGCCTGTGTGTTTCATGTCCTCAGCAGCATGAGATCTTAAGATGAATCATTTTACACTTACTTTTCACCACCTCCACGTCCTCCAGAGGAAGCTTCCACAGGAACTTGTATTTACTGGAAGTATCTATGACACTCGCAGCAGAGTATCTGAGAGTGAGAGAGCAGCAGAAAAAGACAGAAAAAGAGGTCAATAGTAGAAAAATGTTGTCAAACATTGTAAAGAATATGACCTTTTGTATAAGAGCAAGGGGCAGTGTTATTAGGTAACTGTCTTATTATAGTGTGTGTATGTGTGTGTGTGTTTGTGTATTGCCTACAGGCTCATGGAGCTGCGTCTTAATGAGCCAGACTTCCTCTTGAGAGTAGTGCAGATGATCAGATCACTGAAGAGGAAGAGAGATCGGTCTTTCTTCCCACCAACGGTCTTCTACAGCGAGAGATTAAAGAGAGGGGAAAAGTTCCGAAAATCTTCACTCTGGCTTTTGCACATCCATGTAACAATGTATCAATATAAGATAATAGAGTTTGCTTTCATTATTTCTATTAGTTTGACTTCTTTTCCAAGACATTGGACACATTTTGAAACCTTTCTTTGCTACAAACATTTGTAAATTCAGAAGGAACTTCTTACCGCCTCCATGACCATTTCCTGTCTCAAGAACTTCCTCTCAGGGTTCAGAATCTAACACAAACACACAAAGATAAAAGATCAACACTTTAAAACATAGCAATTACTTCAAACTTTGGCCATTTGTCTCTTGCATGGAATCAAATATCTGTACAAAAGCTCTGTGAACTTAATACGGAGAAAAAAACAATGCAATAGCATGATTGTGTTGGGCCTTTTTACTAACTACTTACACTTTATGATGAATAAATAAATCTACAATGGACGATGAAAACAGTCATATTTAACATTAAAGAAGGAAAACATAAGCTCTACACAGTTTTATCTGTACATTAATAAATATCTCACATGTTCCACTCCCTCTATGTGTGCCTCGATCTCCTGGATGACCCTGGCCTCCCTCTCTGCCTCCTCAGCGGAGCGACGGCCCTTATTGATCCTCTCAGCCAATCGCTTGATGTCTCTCTGGGCGTCCAGTAAGTACGAATAGTCCGGGTGATCCTCTGGGGTGTGCTTCAGCATGTCCTTGAACAAAACAAAACACACACAAATGTTACGATCTGCCTTTACATGAGATTCTGGTAACTAAACCCAGAATGAGGCAACTTGCAGTATACAGCACATATACTTTGAGAGGACTCACCTTCACCAGCAGCTCGTATCGGGGAATCCTCTGGACTGGTTTGATCATCAGATCACCCAGAGCCTGTTTTTCCTTGTTCTCACGCATGTTTTGCTGTTGGGGTTAAGAAAGGAGGAGGTTAAGGGAGAGTATGGATATAAGAACATAATAAGACTCAAATAAGTCTTAGTAACAAAATAACTGTCTCTAAAAGCTGGTCAGTGTTGCATATCACATCTCCACCACAAGATGGAGGAGTGGTTCCACTGAAAATAATCCTGTCCGATTGAGAGCTGGAAAAGGACATGACAGCTTTTCTGATAACATTTTAGCATTTGAGCTCTTGTCTGTGCAACAAACATGTGGTTTTCCCCATACATTTATTTCTAAAAGGCAAATCACAGCATCAAAGTGTACAATAATGTTCTACTTAATTAATAGACATTTTGCTGTTTTTTTTTTTAAGTCAAATGATCTGGTTAAATAGTTTTAAAAAGATGGTTTGTAGATTGTTTAATGGAAAAAATGTTGTCTTCAACTAATGTATCATACCCAGAAAGAAAACACTATATTTACTTAAAGAGAATATACATTTTAGTAATATATGGTATCGTGAAAACATCTAAGGTCCTCCTGATCTCCTAAACTGTTCCTCAAATTACATTTTATGTTATCTGATTTAGAAAGAAAATCGGAAACATACATAACTAAACACACCAATCTTAATTTATTAAACTGATCTTGACGTCCTGTAGCTTTAGGGAAATAACAACTAGGTGTCTCTTTCAAACATAACACAAACTCACATGAATACCAACATGGACAAACAGGAAGCACGCACACAAAGAAACACACATTATTCACAGACCTACAATTGACAAACAGTGGCATCAGTTCCAGGATCTTAAAGCTGGTTTTTAGATCCTGGTTAAAAGGCTCTTTCCAGCAGACACACTTGTTTCTAGTGTTCCAAATCAAATCAAACCAAGTTTTATTTATATAGCACATTTTTAAACGATTTTTGGTCGAGCCAAAGTGCTGTACATATAATAAAAATACCCTACAGTAAAGACACTTTACAGCAAATACAACAGCACAGTTTGTGCAGAATATCAGTATGAGAAAACGACACCCTCTGTCCTTAGAGCACACATAGGAGCAGCTGCCCAGACTAAACGGACATCCTGTGACACAGTCCAACACTCACCTCCAGAAACTTGTGAAACGCTGGTTTGGCCTCCTTGGCAATCCTCACAGCATCTTTGGCATTGAGAAAGTTGTCGATGTACGCTGAATACATATTAGCTAGAGTCTCTTTGGAGAACTGGAGAAGAAGAGGAAAGTAGATCTAAGTTACTATTAGTACAGTTTTATGTACACTTGTTTAAAATCAATTTGATGGCAATCCATTGAGTTTGTATGCCTTTTTATGTATATTTATATTTCCTGTTACTTTTCAATATAGTAAGATGTCACAAGTGTTTTTCCTTTTACGTTTTAAGACTCCTAACACCTCCTACAAATAGGAGACACATAATTGTTGCAGTGCTACTTTAATTCATTTTAAGCCTACCCTTAACAGCTAACATTTAAGACATTTTTAATTTGTCACTTTGTAATTAAATCATAACAAAAGCTGACGAGAGCTGTAAATGGAAAGATTACCAAAGAAACCTTGGTGTAAGTGTTTTAAAAAAACACTTACAGTCCCTCAAATCCAGCATAAACATATGCAGGTGATTCACCATGACCTGCTTTTTGTACAAATAGACGGTGACAGAGTTAAAAAGCACAAAGTGTATTGAACGTCAGAGAGTAAACAGCTTTCTACCCTTTTGTGGAATAACCTCGTGGGAGGGAAACTATTGTAAGTATCTTTGTCATAACAGACGACAACATGATGATTAAGCTGTGTCTAAAACACACAGAACCATTGATTCAGGGCTGTGAAATCTATTTGATTGATATTCTTCACAAATGTATATATATTTCTGTTCTCTGGAAGCTAACATTGTCCGCAAACGATCCAGCAATGATTCACAGATGCTAAATAATCTGCCACTTCAAACATGATATTTGATATATGATAATATATCATATATTGTGCCATTCTTTGACACGAGAACATAAAAACTCTGCCCCGTGTGAGGCTCGAACTCACGACCTTCAGATTATGAGACTGACGCGCTGCCTACTGCGCCAACGAGGCCTGAAAAATATTTCAGCTGCAGGCGCTCTAAGAGCTGCAGCGGAAACAGAAGGCGGGGGAGGATTGAGTGAAGCAGTGGGGGAGGGTAGCTCAGTCTGAGCAGTGTGAAAGATCTGCAACGACTTCACCCAAAGAGAAAAAGACCCTCTATTCTTCCTTTCCTGCATGACAATATTCCATTATGTCTTGATATTGGTATATTCAAACGTTCTCTTTAAAGGAAAACCACAGCAACGTATAACATACAAAAATCTGTGAATTTATTCTTGTAAAGTCTTGTAACATTCGGTGATTTTTAGTTTTATGGTTAGGCCAATTTTCCTCAACCTTCTTCTTCTACTGCTTGTAATTCAGTTGGGCCGTTTCCCGCATTTACGACATTGTTCTTTTGTGACAGTTTGTGTCTCCAGTGTCTGTGAAAAGGTTGTATTCAAGCTGAGAGGGATAACAAAAGCATTAACATAGCAAGAGAGTGAGGGTTTTTCCCCACTCAATAAAAAACAAAAGCCTGAGCCACACGGCATTCTGGTCTATTGAAACTGGGATCTACTGTGCATTTCTGACTTCATGTCAACTGTTAGCTTCTTTCCTTCTCAAACACTGAAAACTTTAGCCTAACACTGATGTTTTAGAGAACTGCTTTTCAGAATCTAGGTTAAGAGCCGCCCTCGGGTCATGGGAAACTTTAAATGCCAATAGGTCACCAGGAAAACAAAATATTAACCAGTGTTGCCAACTATAGACTGTCTCCGATTACAAAAAGCTTCCCTTCAGCCCACTCCGCTATCACTTGTGTTTTTAAAAGAACGTTAATTAATTTAGCCTTTCGAGTCTGTAAAAACCCTTTAAGGGTATGTCATGTCAGGACAAGTAGCTTTACTGCTGCACCAATATTTGGAAAAACACCCTTGTTTTAGGATAAAATTGCAACTTCATTCAAAGTACAAGTCTTTTATCTTTTTTACCACTTTTAACTTAAAAAAAGGGAAGACAGAATTTGAAAACCATGGTTTTGCAGAGTTGAACGACAGTTTGCTATCAGACTTTAAAGGAAATTATATCCTTATCTTATCTTACAATGATAATAAAAACAAAGTAACAAAAGAACAATACAATTCTCCCTGTCACGGTGCATTGAATCTTTAGAGGGGAATCAGTTGGACTTCAAGGTGCTATCATTACTTATGGTTGATTCATATATTTGCATTATTTCCCCCCTGGCCTCACTGTTTTATGACATATGCTATTAAGAGCAGTAAAGTGTTTCTGGTACTATCAGAGGTAATGCTTTAATAAATAATAATAATAAATTGAATGTATATAGCTTTGCATTTCTTATCATTAAAAATGGCTGCTTAGGACACCTTTTGTCATCTCTACTCACTGATTTGATGAGGAGATGTCCAACAGTCTGTCTATCGTGCCATTGGCTGACGCAGCCAGAAACTTGCTCCAGGAAGTACTCGTGGTGCTCCAGGATCTCCGGGATTTGGTAAAACATCTCGTCCACCAGCAGAGGGTCCACTATGGAGCCGCTGTCTGGCTGTTTGAGAGGACGCATGTAGCCCTGAGGGGAGAACACAAAACAGTTCCTTACAGACCATTTTGAATATTTTTCGTTGGCTTAAAATTTCTTCCAGCAGTCAGGACTGTTTGGGTAATTTCATTGGTGAAACTTCTGTGGTTCTGTTTATCAAACATTACAACCCTGAGCTAAACTTTGTATTTGTATTTAGCCTTTATTTAACCTGGTAAGTTATGAAGGACAGTTTCTTTGTGACCGAAAACATTGCTGCTCAAAATCACAGTCAGAACAAAATGACGTGAATGCAGCACAGGCCATGTTGATGTGAATGCCAAAAAAACAGATTAAGCTTTATTAAAGTAGGTACATCCGAAGTTTGTCTGCTTATTATTTACATCATCTTATCCTTCTTTTCTTCTCCTCTTAACTTTATTTCCTTTTCTTTCTTAGGTCTCAAGGTGCCTCAATACACAAAATAAATCAGATTTTGTAGATTTATTAGCATCTTAACAAGTCTGACTATGACACATACTGAAAACACTGAAATCCAATAAAGCTGAGAGAAATTTAGAGATTCAATTTACTGTGTAAAACAGACTCAGACAGATGCGACCCAGAGGCTCCGGAAGATATTAAATCGTGAGTGGCTCATCGACTAATTTATGACACATACTGTATGATGACTAATCCAATCTGCTGTTTTAAAAAAATATAGAGAAGAAAGTTGGGATAAAGAGAACTTAAAGCTTTTTCATAGCAGCAGTGATTCAGCTGACACAATGGCAGTTTTATATACATGGTTCATATTTAAACAAAACGTCTTTCTTAGATTACAGGATGAGGTTTAAGGTATCGTTAGGGTTGTATGGGGTAGAATAAGCATGTGGTTACTTTTGACGGCAACAGGGTCTTCTAGGTGAAAATCTGTTGTCTTTATATTCCCACTTTATGCGTAATAATTATTACGCCCACTAGAGGTCCTCGCCTTACAATGTTAAACCTCTGTGATCCAGCTACAGAAATAAAGGCCTACTGAGTTTATTTAAAGTTAGAGTATGGCCATATAAACTCTCTATGTTTGCCATTTATTGAGCTAATACAATTCACAGCAGGTGGTGACAGGAACCTCCCAAAGTTCCCAAAAAAGGAACTGCAAAGAGGCAGATTTAAACTTTGGACAGCAGCGCCATAGAGCCGTCTCAGCTGAACCGCATCCGACACTTTCCTTCAGGGATCTCCACTCTCACTGCAGTCACCGTGGTAACACTTACTTTCACTGTGTCACCATGGGAACAGCCCAGGATTATTCACTTTGTGGCCGCACAAAGAAACACATGCATGTGGAGAGAAGTCAGTGAGCATGTGGGATATGCATGCACACTCACACAGATTTCACACAGATGTATGCGAGCCCACACACTTTAAATAGAGACAAGTTATACAACAGGTAAGTTAGAAGAAGGTGAAGAGTGTTTTTCTGACAGAGAGATAGGGATGCAGCTAATATTTGGGGTAAAGGTTAGTTGGCTAATGAAAGAGATAGGTGTAGGGTATAGGTGTGTGTGGGCAGATAATGCTGTTGACAGTGAGACAGTGTTTAGCCTGACAGGATAAATGACAATAAGTGGATTACATAACACCTTTGTTATCTACATTTGTGCTTCACATCCACAGTAATCTGTTAAACCACCGGTGTGTTTCTGTCTGTGAGTGTGTGCTGGCAAATCACTCAGTGAACATATTGTTAGCTCAGAGATGTAAGAACCAAACTGTGTATGAGCTACCCATGTGTGTGGTTTTTGAATGAGTTTTTTTGAATGAGTGTTACCTGAATGAGACTTCGGAGTGACTCCACATATGACTGCTCTGTGTCCACGAGGGTCATCATCACATGTTTCCTCATGTC